TTGCAGAGGAGGTTGAAAGCCATTTCTTAGTAAATGACCTTCGTCCTGCCTACCAAGCTCTGAGAAAGCTGAACTCCAAGCCCTCCTCACAGACGATGGCAGTCCGCTCAGCAAGTGGCCAGGTAATCTCAGATCCTGATGGGGTGCGTGTGCGTTGGGCTGAGTATTTTGAGCAGCTGTATCAGGTTGATCCACCAACAGGTAACTTGGATGCTGGTAATGTTGTGACTCCTCTGCCAGACCCACCCATCAGCGAGGATCCACCCTCCCTGACTGAAGTCAAGGGGGCGATCTCCAAGCTGAAGATTGGTAAAGCAGCAGGTGTCTGTGGCATCCCAGCTGAATTGTTAAAGGCTGGTGGAGAACCTATGGCAAGGGGCATGTATGCAGTCCTGTCTGCCATCTGGCAGACCGGTACCATTCCCCCTGACCTGCTGAGGGGTGTGGTCATCCCTCTCTGGAAGGGGAAAGGGGATCGGTGGGACTGCAGCAATCACCGAGGCATTACACTGCTCAGTGTACCAGGCAAGGTACTCGCCCACATCTTACTGAGACACATCAGAGACCACCTCCTGAGGCACCAAAGACCGGAGCAATCTGGGTTCACTCCTGGTAAGCCCACAATAGACCGTATCTTGGCGCTTCGAGTCATTGTAGAGCGCCGTCGTGAGTTCGGACGTGGGCTGCTCGCAACCTACATCGACCTCAAGAATGCGTTTGATACGGTGCATCGCGAATCACTCTGGGAGATCCTGAGACTGAGAGGAATTCCCACAAGGATTGTTGGGCTAATAGCAAACCTGTATACAGGCACTGAAAGTGCTGTAAAGTGTGGTGGGGGCCTGTCGAGCTTCTTTCCTGTTAGTTCAGGCGTGAAGCAAGGCTGTGTTCTTGCACCAACACTTTTCAACACTTGCATGGATTGGATACTGGGTAGAGCTACTGTTCAAAGTCACTGTGGAGCAACTCTGGGCAATATCAAGGTTACAGACCTTGACTTTGCTGATGATGTTGCTATTCTTTCTGAATCTCTGGAAACCCTAGTGGCGGCTCTTGATGCATTTAGCAATGAAGCGAAGCCCCTGGGGATTTTGGGGGCCTACTAGGAGACCCTGTGCAGTCGGTACGTGCTTGCGGTGAAAACATCGAAGTCACAAGGAGTTTTATATACCTCGGTAGTGCAGTTCATGACTCTGGGCTGTCAGACCAGGAAGTCAGTAGACGGATTGGCCTGGCAGCAGGGGTCATGAAATCTCTCGACAAGAGTATTTGGAGATGCCGGTACCTGTGCAGAAGGACCAAGCTATGAGTTTTCAAGGCCCTGATACTGCCAGTTTTACTATATGGTAGTGAAACCTGGACGCTATCTTGTGCTTTGGAATCTCGTCTCGATGCCTTTTGTAACAGATCCTTGCACCGGATCATGGGGTACAGTTGGCGGGACCATGTGTCCAACCAACAGCTACACCGTGAGACCGGTACAGGACCTGTTACTTGCACAATCCGTGATCGCCAACTCAGGCTATATGGCCACTTGGCTCGATTTCCGCAGGATGATCCTGCCCATCAGGTTGTCTCTGTTCGGGACAACCCTGGGTGGAGGAGGCCTGTGGGACGACCGAGAAGGTCGTGGCTTGGGCAGATCGATCAAACCTGTCGTGAGGAACTAGAGATGGGCCGGGCCCCTGCCTGGCGGCTCGCCATGAGAGACCCTCGCAGGTGGAAGCGAAGGGTGGACGCGGCTATGCGCCCCTACCGGCGTTAGCTCCCCAATGATGATGATGATGATGATATATATATATATATATATATATATATATCACATTATATATATATATATATATATCACATTATATATATATATATATATATATATATATATATATATATATATATATATATATATATAGTATCAGATGTATATATATATATTCACAAACACACAGAAGTTTGATACGAGTGCATTTCACAGCTCCAAGGCACACACGCAAAGAAACATTCTACACAGCATCCAACCCTTTCGAAGTTGAACCTGCTACCGAGTCATACACGTTAGACCCATAATCTGATTTTGGCCTCACTAGGGCTTTAAATTATTAAAAGACTTTCTATGAAATTTAACAGAATTTAGCCTGAAGCTTGATATTCGATTATGTGAAAAAATACCCTCTCGTAGAAAACTTAAAAGCCCACCCACTGGAAGCCCCAGTTATGAATTATGTTCAGTGTCATTTGCATGCAATTTGCCGGGAATTTTGCATTGCTGCTGGATTGCCATAATACATAATTATCAGCTTCCAGTGAGATTTTAAGATGCCGAGGGGGGGGGGGGCAAAATCTTATTGTTCATACTCAGAAATGTTTGTGACAAGACGCCTCCTTGTGGGATCACGAAAAAATGTTAGAAAAAAGGACATTGTCAATGAGCATTTTGATAATTCTGTCAGAAAGGAAATTTTGAATAAAGAAGGCAAGTTTCCGCTTAACCCAATAGCATAAA